CCAGCCTTGCTGTCTTGGCTCCATTCTCTGCGACCTCTTGTCCCTCTGTCCCACTCCCTCCCTCAGGTTCTGTCGCTGGTGCAGCAGGCCCCTGCAAGGGGCACACAGAGAGAGCGCTTCCACCTGCTGGTTCGTTCCCCAAACGCCTGCAACAGCGGGGGCCAGGCTGGAGCCAGGAGCTGGAGGTTTGGCTGCAGGGCTCAGCCACTTGGGCCGTTGCCTGCTGCTCCCCGGGTGCGCACCAGCAGGAAATTTGCATGGGGGGTGGAGCCCGGGCTCAAACCCAGGTGCTCCGAAGCAGGGTGCGGGCTTCCCAGCCAGCGTGCCGGCCGCCGGGCCAGGGGCCTGCTCCAGAAACCCTTGGGCGTGCTCGCTTCTCTTCGCGTCCCGTGGCCTCTTGGCTCCAGCTTAGCGGAGTAGGATCCGGAGGCCCAGACGAATGTTCAGGACCGTGAGAAGTCGGTCGTGCCGGTTCCTGAGCCACAGGGGGCGGCCGAGGGCAGGGTCGGCTGTGGGGGGCCCTGAGCTTCTGCTTCTGTGCCCTCCCAGCCCCTTCCCCCATCCCCGTGTCTGGCCTCAGGTAGCTACATTCGAGGCAGAGTCTTGGAAAAGCCCAGGAGGATCAACTGGTCCCTTCCGGTTCATTCCAAGAGGCCGGGAGAGACGCATGCTCCATGCTCAGGTCTGGGCACCTGGTCTCAGCACCCACCTTTTTTTTTTTTTTTTTGACAGGCGGAGCTGGACAGTGAGAGAGGGAGACAGAGAGAGGTCTTCCTTCCGTTGGTTCACCCCCCAAATGGCCACTACAGCTGGAGCTACGCCGATCTGAAGCCAGGAGCCAGGTACCCCCTCCCAGTCTCCCACACCGGTGCAGGGCCCAAGCACCTGGGCCATCCTCCACTGCCTTCCCGGGCCACAGCAGAGAGCTGGACTGGAAGAGGAGCAACCGGGACAGAACCGGCACCCCAACCAGGACCAGAACCCGAGTGCTGGTGCTGCAGGTGGAGGATTAGCCTAGTGAGCCGTGGCGCTGGCCCAGCAGCCATTGTTTTGTTGGGTGCCTGGTGTCCTCTGCTGGACCCGGGGTCACTCTCCTGTGCAGGGATTTGAGGCCCCAGGAGCATGGGTGAAATGTACAGTCCTCCCCGCAAGCAGCAAAAGGGGTCCCCCAAGAAGACTCAGGTTAGTGCTGGCCCTCAGGGAGCGGAGGGGCAGGGGCGCCCAGTGCAGCCTGGGCTCCTGGCTCTGTTACTGGGCTCCGGGCAGGGGAGGGAGGGCGACTTGGATGGACAACAGAGAAGGAGCCGCTCCCCTCGCCTGCAGGACACTGGCTGTCCGGGTCTGCTCACAGCTGAGGGGCTGGGACACACTGAGGGGCCCACAGCCGTTCCCAGCTCAAGTCCCGCACCTGTGGACGCAGCTAAGCCCTAGCCAGGGTCCCGGCCCGGAGCTGTGGAGTCCTGAGCAACCGCTCTTGTTTTATTTTCTCTCTCTCTCTCTCTCTCTCTCTTTCTTTCTTTCAGATTTATTTATTTATTTGAAAGTCAGAGTTACACAGAGAAAGAGAGGCAGAGAGAGAGAGAGAGAGAGAGGTCTTCCACCCCCTGGTTCACTCTCCAATTGGTTGCAACAGCCAGCGCTGAGCCAATCTGATGCCAGGAGCCAGGAGCTTCACCTGGGTCTCCCACGTGGGCTTGGGCTGCCGTCCGCTGCTTTCCCAGGTGCACGAGCAGGGAGACAGATCTGGAGTGGAGCATCTGGGACTCGAACCAGCGCCCACATGGGATGCTGGTGTCGCAGGCAGTGGCTTGACCAGTTCTACACAATGCCAGCCCCAGGAAGACAGTTGTGAGGCAAGGTGGGGACCAGTGTGTGGCACAGAGGGTTGGGCCGCTGCTTGCAATGCCGTCGGCAGTCGCGCCAGTTCGAGTCCGGGCTGTTCTGCTTCTGAGCCAGCTCCCGGCTCATGCACCTGGGAAAGCAGCGAAGCCAGCCCGCGCTTGAGTCCCTGCCGCCCATCCGGGAGAACCGGCGGAGTCCCCGGCTTCAGCCTGCCCATCCTCGGCTGTTGTGGCCGTCTGGGGAGTGAGTCAGCGGGTGGGAGATCTCTCCATCTCCGTCCCTCTGCTTTCTCTGATCTCCCTTTCATTTGTTTATTTATCTTTTAAAAAGATATAATTTTTTTTTTTCATTTGAAAGGCAGAGAGAGAGAGAGAGAGAGAGAGAGAGAGAGAGACCTTGCATCTGCTGGTTCACTCCCCAAATGGCTGTAATGGTTGGGGCTGGGCCAGACTAAAGCCAGGAGCCCGGAGCTCCGTCCTGGCCTCCCACGTGGGTGCAGGGGTCCATGCACTTGGGCCGTCCTCTGCTGCCTCCCAGGCACATCAGCAGGGAGCTGGAGCGGAAGGGAAGCAGCCAGGATACTTGCATTGCAGGCTGCGGCTTAACCTGCTGCACCACAATGCCGGCCCCCACGCTCCCTTTCAAATAAAATAAATAAATCGTAAACAAGAAAAAGGTTTCTGAAGCAAAGCATAAAAAACACAAGTCTCAGGGCCGGCGCTGTGGCGGAGCGGGTAAAGTCTCTACTTGCAGGGCCAGCATCCCATAGGGGCGCCGGTTCGAGTCCCAGCAGCTCCACTTCCCATCCCGCTCTCTGCTGTGGCCTGGGAAAGCAGTGGAGGATGGCCCAGGTCCTTGGGCCCCTGCACCCGCGTGGGAGACCCAGAGGAAGCTCCTGGCTCCTGGCTTCAGATCGGCGCAGCTCCGGCCGTTGTGGCCATCTGGGGAGTGAACCAGCAGATGGAAGACCTCTCTCTCTCTCTCTCTCTCTCTCTCTCTCTCTCTCTCTCTCTAACTCTGTCTTTCAAATAAATAAAATGAATCTTAAAAAAAAAAAAAAACTCACAAATAAGAGAAGGAGGAGTGAGTGACACCTTGACAGCAGGGACTCCACTTCGGAGCAGAGACTCCGTTCTGGGAAGGTGCCCCCCGCACCGTGAGACTCTGGTCTGAAACGAGGATCTAGAACAGTCGGACAACAACAGTCCCTACATCACACCTGGCAGAGCACAGAAACCCCAGGAGGGAGGGTCGCTCAGGCGTGGAGGTGGACAGGCTGCACCGGGTCAATGATGAACATGTGATTTGTCTGTGTCCTACATGTGATGTAAGCCAACACCCGGACTCATGTCAAGATTGCAATTGGAATTAAGATCGTAACTGGTGTTGTCAAGATGATAAGTGATAGCAGTTTCGCACAGGTTTTGGGTCAGCTTGCCCCGGTAACCATGTATCCCCCCGACCCTAGCACCATGAATTCCCCTCCCGGTTTTGTGGCTTTGCCTTTATCAACCCTGTAGCTTTGGGTGGCTCTGCACCAGGCAATAAAGGACCGTCAGACTGCGTCAGTGTGTGGAGCTCCTTTGTTCACACTCGCTGAGGTTCAGCAGGAGCAGTAACACTGTAATGTCCGGGCCTTTCTGGTTGTCTCAGCCCCGAGGGTGCTCCGGGCACCTGGGGGTGCTGCTGACACAGCCCCACGTGGCAGCGTGACAGGGCGCTGAGCGAGCCCGGCCCCAGGTGGCTCCCCCGCCCCGCCCGACCTCCTGGACCCGAGCCTGCGTTTCCCGGGCTGGCGGCAGAGCCAGATGCTCCTCCCACGGGACGGCGCGGCGCCCTCCCTCCCTCCCCAGGGGCCCCTCGGCTCCCTGGCTCCACTGCGGCTTCTCCCCGCCCCTTCCCACGCAAAGACCCCTCCCCGGCTGTCAGTCCTGTCTGTCCGTGTCTCTGGCTGCCCCTCGCGTCCACAGCTCCGGGCACTCCGGTGACCTCCTCCGGTCCCATGGCCTGTGGGGCGATGGCTCCCCAGCGCAGACGAAGCTGCCCTTTTTTTTTATTATTAAATTTATTTTATTTATTTGAAAGTCAGAGTTACACAGAAAGAGGAGAGGTAGAGAGAGGTAGAGAGAGAGAGAGAGAGAATCTTCCATCTGCTGGTTCACTCCCCAGATGGCCACAACGGCTGGAGCTTCGCTGAAGCCAGGAGCCAGGGGCTTCCTCTGGGTCTCCCACGCAGGTGCAGGGGGCCCAAGCACTTGGGGCATCCTCCACTGCCTTCCCAGGCCACAGCAGAGAGCTGGATCGGGAGAGGAGCAGCCGGGACTAGAACTGGCACCCATGTGGGATGCCAGCGCTTCAGGCCAGGGCTTTAACCCACTGTGCCACAGCACCAGCCCCACGAAGCCGCCCTTGGCATGAGCCCCTGGCCCTGACTCAGGTTCCCGGCACCTGCTTTCCTGGTCCCTCCCACCTCTCGTGTGGTCCCCGCCTCCCTGATTCTCCCTCTCCTGGGCCCCCGCCCTGGCCCCCATTCAGCTCCCGATGACGGCTGCCCCCTCATGGCACAGATGCCCACCGGGCTCCTTCCTCCAGCCGCACTCCGCCCCTCCCCCACCCGCTGTCACCGAGGACTCTCAGGTGCCACTTGCCTTTGAACCTCACGTCCGGTGTCCAGTCCTAGCTCCTGGCCCCGCCCAGGGGGTGTCTGGGTGTCCCCTGCCCCAGGCTCGCTGTGGGGCTGCCCAGTGGTCTCCTTCCAGCCCCTGCCCTTTGCCCTGGTGCCCCAAGTCCTCCGTCTTCCGCCGCACGGACAGGTGTCTCCTCGCTCTCGCCTTGCCAATGCCTGGAGCTCTGCCCCTGTCCACCCGCCTGCTCCACCATTGTCAGGGTGGGGCCCTGAGGCGGGAGCTGGTGCTGGAACACGTTCCCTGACCGTCGTGGGTGCACCTTGGGGCACGGGGATGGAGGAGGAGTGGAGATGACTCGGTGCCAGGAACCCTGGGAGAGGCCTGGGAGGGCTTCCTGGAGGAGGCAGCCGAGACCCTGAGGGGCTTTTTCTGGCTGCTCAGGTATCACAGCCTGAGCAGTCTGACCTGTTCCCCGGGCCAGTTCCACCTGGCAGCCGCAGGATCCCTGCAAGCAGGCGGGCGGAGGAGCTGCTGAGACTCCTGGCAGTGGGAGAGGGGTGGGTGTGAGAATTCGGTGGCGGCCCCCGCCCCGCCCCGCCCCAGCCGCTGTCAGGTGGCCTGGGCCTCACTCCCCACCCGGCGTGGGCATGGAGTCCGGCGGGGCGGCCAGCTGTGCGGCTTCTGGGCAGTCGGCGGCTGCAGAAGCCTGGGGTGGGAGCAGCATGTCCGGGGGAGAGGCCAAAGGCTCGGCCCAGGACCCAGGCTCGCGGCCCGCGCTGGGGTACGTGGGGTCCCCGGGGCAGAGGGACCCTCGGGTGGAAGGCCCTGGGTGGGGCCACGGCACGGGGTCACGGCAGGTGGGTGCAGGGGGCCACACTGCCAAGCGGCCTGGGGCTGGGGGTGACCTCCGGGACGGGGGGCTCAGGGCAGGGAGGCGTGCGCCTCGTGACCTCAGGTCAGTGTCCTCTCCTCACCCCTAAAGGAGCCCCCAGGCTGGGGCTGGGGCTGGGGCTGGGGCTGGGGCTGGGGCTGGGGGTGGCGCAGACGGATGCAGGGGACCCTGGTGGGGACCCGGCAGGGCTGGGAGCCTGCAGGGGAGAAGGGGGAGAGTCGGAGGGGGGAGGGGAAAGCTTTGGCTTCAGGTCCCCGGGCCACATTCACTGCCAGCTCCGGCTCCTGCCTCCGGGAGCCTCCCTCCCCCACGGTAGAAAGCCTGGAGGTGGGGGCCGGCACTGTGGTGTTGTGGGTTAGGCGGCAGCTGGCAACACCGACGACCTATATGGGGGCGCAGGATGGAGCCTTGGCTGCTCCACTTCCGATCTGCTCCTGCCGATGACCTGGGGAGGCAGCGGGAGACGGCCAAGCGCTTGGCACCTGCCCCCGCCGTGGAACCAAACGGAACAGCTGCCCCTGAGAGGCCCCACCCCTCCCCGCGGGGTCAGAGCCGGGAGTAGGTCTCCGGCCAGCCTCGGGGAGAGCCACGGGCACGGATCAAGATTGCAATGACGGCGTTTGCCACGTCTGGACCGTGAGCTCCACAAGGGCCAGCCTCGTCCCAGTGGTCGCCTGCGTGGCCCAGGTTCTACCAGGACCTGCCTGGGATGCGGCCGGAGACCCCAGAGGCCCCGCGCCTGAAGCGGAAAGAGCCTTGGGTGAAGGGAGGAGCCAGGGGAGGCCAGTGACCTTGGCCGAGTCTGTCTCCTCACCTGTCGAGCAGGTGCTCTGGCTCCTTGATTACTGCAGAGAGCACCAGGTGTCAGTGAGGGGGCAGGTGTCACAAGTGGGGGCAGCAGGTGTCACAGGTGGGGGGGCAGGTGTCACAGTGAGGGGGGCAGCAGGTGTCACAGGTGGGGGGCAGGTGTCACAGTGAGGGGGGCAGGTGTCACAGTGAGGGGGCAGGTGTCACAGTGAGGGGGCAGCAGGTGTCACAGGTGGGGGCAGCAGGTGTCACAGGTGGGGGGCAGCAGGTGTCACAGGTGGGGGGGCAGGTGTCACAGGTGGGGGCAGCAGGTGTCACAGGTGGGGGGCAGGTGTCACAGGTGGGGGGCAGCAGGTGTCACAGGTGGGGGGCAGGTGTCACAGGTGGGGGGGCAGGTGTCACAGGTGGGGGGCAGCAGGTGTCACAGTGAGGGGGGCAGCAGGTGTCACAGGTGGGGGGCAGCAGGTGTCACAGGTGGGGGGGCAGCAGGTGTCACAGGTGGGGGGCAGCAGGTGTCACAGTGAGGGGGCAGCAGGTGTCACTTGTGGGGGGCAGCAGGTGTCACAGGTGGGGGGCAGGTGTCACAGGTGGGGGGCAGGTGTCACAGGTGGGGGGCGGCAGGTGTCACAGGTGGGGGGCAGCAGGTGTCACAGGTGGGGGGCAGGTGTCACAGGTGGGGGGCAGGTGTCACAGGTGGGGGGCAGCAGGTGTCACAGGTGGGGGCAGCAGGTGTCACAGGTGGGGGGCAGCAGGTGTCACAGGTGGGGGCAGCAGGTGTCACAGTGAGGGGGGCAGCAGGTGTCACAGGTGGGGGGCAGCAGGTGTCACAGGTGGGGGCAGCAGGTGTCACAGGTGGGGGGCAGGTGTCACAGGTGGGGGGCAGGTGTCACAGGTGGGGGGCAGCAGGTGTCACAGGTGGGGGGCAGGTGTCACAGGTGGGGGGCAGGTGTCACAGGTGGGGGCAGCAGGTGTCACAGTGAGGGGGCAGCAGGTGTCACAGGTGGGGGGCAGCAGGTGTCACAGGTGGGGGGCAGCAGGTGTCACTTGTGGGGGGCAGCAGGTGTCACAGTGAGGGTAGCAGGTGTCACAGGTGGGGGCAGCAGGTGTCACAGGTGAGACATCAGGTGCCTCCCTGATGGCCTCCCGGTCCCGGTCTCTCAGTCTGTGACCTTGAGAGCGCTGCAGCCTCAGAGACAAAGAACCGGGGGAGACGGGGACCCTGAATCCGTCTCCTGATAGAGCGGCTGGGCGGGGGCTGGGGGGCAGGTGCGCAGGTGGGAGGGGCCAGGAGGGGCCTGGCTGCCCCCTGGAGCGTGGGGCGTCACAGCTCTCTGCCCTCCCTGTGGGGGTGCCCGTGAGCCCCGCAGGTGCTGACCGCCCCGTTCCCACCACCCCACCCGCAGGATGGAGCCCTTGGAGGACCGGCTGCGGCGGCTGCGGGAGGCCTTCGACGCGGGGCGCACGCGGCCGGCCGAGTTCCGGGCTACGCAGCTCCGGGGCCTGAGCCGCTTCCTGCAGGAGAACAGGCAGCTCCTGCAGGCCGCGCTGGCCCAGGACCTGCACAAGGTGGACGGCAGGGGCGCGGCGGGGCGCGGTGGGGGTGGGGCCAGGACAGGTGCATCACAGCCGCGCAGGGAGGCAGCCTTGATGGCTGACCCACAGGGAAGCGGCCATCCTCGGGCCGCCCACGGGAACTCGCTTGTCCCCCCTGGCCGGCCCGGGGGCCTGAGCTCCGGGAATTCCTCCCGCAGTCGGCCTTCGAGTCGGACATATCGGAGCTCATCGTGTGTCAGAAGGAGGTGGACCTGGCCCTCAGCAGCCTGCACGCCTGGATGAAAGACAAGCCGGCCGCCACCAACCTGGTGAGCCCCTGCCCAGGCCTCCCGGGTGGGACTCCGCCTGGGGAGCCGAGGACCCGGGCACGGGGCGGGCTCGGAGCGGCCTCTGGTGGGGCCTCACCGTCCGCCCCACACCCCCAGCTCACGAAGCTGGGCTCCGCCTTCATCCGGAAGGAGCCCTACGGCCTGGTGCTCATCATCGCCCCCTGGAACTACCCCGTGAACCTGACGCTGATGCCCCTGGTGGGGGCCATCGCTGCAGGTGAGAGCCGCCCCTCGGCCGCCCGCCCAGGAGCCCCTCTCAGAGAAGGCTCCAGAATCTGCCTGTGCGGGGGTCGGGGGCTGGGGGGGGGCACCGGCCTCTCCCACCGCCCCCCCCCCCCGCAGGGAACTGCGTGGTGCTGAAGCCCTCGGAAATTAGCAAGGGCACGGAGAAGGTGCTGGCCGAGGTGCTGCCCCGGTACCTGGACCAGGTGAGGGCGGCCCTGCCCCCGCGCGGCCAGTGCCCCCACCCCCGCCTGCCCCAGGACCTGCCCCTGAGCCCAGCTCCCCCCCACCCCAGAGCTGCTTCGCCGTGGTGCTGGGGGGCCCCGAGGAGACCGGGCAGCTGCTGGAACACAGATTCGACTACATCCTCTTCACGGGTGAGGCCAGGGCGGGGGCCTGGGACCGGAGGGGGCCTGGGGTGAGGTCGGAGGGAGCAAGAGGCAGGCGCCTGGGCCGCCCAGCCAAGGCCCGCTGAGGGCGGGGCGGTCTCCTGGCCACGTCCCCAGGGAGCCCCCGTGTGGGCAAGATCGTCATGGCGGCCGCTGCCAAGCACCTGACGCCCGTCACCCTGGAGCTGGGCGGCAAGAACCCCTGCTACGTGGACGACAACTGCGACCCGCAGACCGTGGCCAACCGCGTGGCCTGGTTCCGCTACTTCAACGCCGGCCAGACCTGCGTGGCCCCCGACTACGTGCTGTGCAGCCCCGAGACGCGGGAGCGCCTGCTGCCCGCCCTGCAGCAGGCCATCACCCGTTTCTACGGCGACGACCCCCAGCGCTCCCCCAACCTGGGCCGCATCATCAACCAGAAGCAGTTCCGGCGGCTCCAGGCCCTGCTGGGCTGCGGCCGCGTGGCCATCGGCGGCCAGAGTGACGAGAGCCAGCGCTACATCGGTGAGCCCCTCTCCTCGCCCAGCCCCCCGGGGCCGGGACCCCGCCAGGCCGGACCACACCCCCAAACCAGGGCCCTGCTGCTCAAGCCCAGGCCAAGGCCACGGCTCTGGTGCCACGATTTGGTGGCCTAAGGCTCCGCTCAGCGTGGCGGGAGCTGGACTTCCTCCCCGCCACACCCTGGGCCACAGCCATGCGTCTGCCCAGTGCCAGGCCAGGCTCTCAACACCTGCCCCTCCCCCACCCCGTGACCCCGATCCTGCCGGCCCAGCCCCAGGCTCTAAGCGAGCCCCCACCTCCTGGGCTCAGGACGGCCTGGGTGTGACCTCCGCCTCCAGGGCCCTAAGACCCCGTCCTCCCCACCGGCCCCCCGCCCACTACTGCACCCAGCCCCCTGCCCCAGGGGCCGGGCCGAGGTCTGAGCCGCCCGTGCCCGCAGCGCCCACGGTGCTGGTGGACGTGCAGGAGGCGGAGCCGGTCATGCAGGAGGAGATCTTCGGGCCCATCCTGCCCATCCTGACGGTGAGCGGCCTGGACGAGGCCGTCGCCTTCATCAACCGCCGGGAGAAGCCCCTGGCCCTGTACGCCTTCTCCAACAGCAGCCAGGTGGGGCTGAAAGGGGTCCATACCGGCCCCCTCCCCTAGGGACACGCCCGTCTAAGGCCTCTCACCAGGCCACTGGTGTGACTGCCTGGCCAGGGGCTCGGGCAGGGTGGAGATCAGCAGGCGGCGGGCTGGCCAGCAGTGGGCCGGGGCCAGGGCAGCCACTGGTATGGACCGTGTGTCTCCTGAACCCTGAACAGGTTCCTCACAGGCCGGCGAGGTTCTCGGTGGAGCTGGGGGCCGAGGGAAGCCTGACGGGCCAGGCAGGGCCTTGCCGGCCTTGGGCGGGGCCTGTGCTCTCCATTGCCAGACCTCATTGCCACGCCCCAAGGTCATGGCCGCCCTTGGTGCTAGAGGGGCTTCCTCCATCCTCACACCCTGCCGCACCTCCCCAAGCAGGTGCCGCCCCACAGAGGGGCTTAGAGAGGAGGGGATTGCTCAGGGGCCGGTGGAGCTGGGGGAGCCCCCGGCGGACTCCTGGGGCTCAGCCCAGCACCCGCCTCCCTCCACCCCAGGTCGTGAGCCAGGTGCTGGACAGGACCAGTAGTGGCAGCTTCGGAGGCAACGAGGGCTTTATCTACCTGACCCTGCCGACCCTGCCCCTCGGGGGCGTCGGTGAGTGCCCGCCCTGCGCCCAGCCCCGGGGAAGCCGGGGTGTGTGGCACCCCAGACCCAGGAAGTGTCCATTTGCTGTCCAGCCTGCAGCAGGCCCGGGGTCTCTGCAGGCCTCAGTTTCCCCACCTGTGCGTCTCTGGGCTCCCGGCGGGGCGTGCGCTGCTCCGGAGGCCGGGCTGCCCGGCCTCAGCCCTGCCTCTCCACGCCCGCGCAGGCCACAGCGGCATGGGCAGCTACCACGGCAAGTTCTCCTTCGACACCTTCTCCCACCACCGCGCCTGCCTGCTGCGCAGCCCCGGCTTGGAGAAGCTCAACGAGCTCCGCTACCCGCCCTACAGCAACTGCGCCCAGCGGCTGATCAGCTGGGCCATGGGGTCGCAGAGCTGCACCCTCCTGTGAGGCGCGGCCCCGCCAGACCCTCCAGCCTGCTGCCCCGCGCGTGAGACCCAGACCTGGTGATGGAGCCCCCACGTCCCAACGCTGGGCAGAGTCTGTGGCCAGAGAGGCCCCTCTGTCAGGTCCATAAACGCATCCACAAAGACAGAGCAGCGCTGCTGTCACCTGACTGGGGAGCTGGCGTGCACGACCTGAGAGTGTCCTTGGCAAGGGCTCCGCCGCGCCGCGTGGGGTCCGCAGGAAGGGGCCGGCCGGCTGGCGGTCAGGCGGCGCGGCGCGCACGCGGCGGCCCCACTGGTCAGCTCTGCTCCCAACTCCCGGGAGGAAGGCGGTCAGGGCTGGCGCGATCTAAATCTGGTGACCCCGACAGACCGAGTCTCGGGTCTAGAGGCTGGGCTGGGCTTGTAAGGAAGCAGGGGTGGAGCTGGCATCGTGGGGACCCTCGCCAGGGCAGGTCTGGCCCATGGCAGCCACCGCTTGCTCTCCCCCTGGTGCCCACCCTGGCAGCCGCTTGTCCCGGTGGGTTCTGCACCCCTCCGAGCCATGCAGAATCTGAGCCCTGAGGCTGAGGGAAGGAAGGGGAGAAGGGCCCACCAGCTCCCCCGGAAGCTGTTTGGGATGGTTGTCCCCAGATGGGCACGGGGGGACTCGAGGGAGGTGCCATACAGGGGCTGTTGATGAGGGGTGGGGAGGATGAACAAGGAAGCGAGACGGTGGACGGATGGATGGATGGGTGGTGGGCAGGTGGGCAGGTGACAGTGACAGAACAGATAGTGGCTGGGTGGGAGGCTGGAGGAGAGTAGATGGCGGGTGGAAGGTTGGGTGAGGGTGGGTGTATGGAGGGGACAATGGGTGGGTAAGGAGATGGGCAGGTGAGCAGGTGGGTGGAGGAATGAATGAACAATGAACAGTCAGGTTGTTGGTGGGTGAGCCGATGGCTCAGACAGAGGACGAAGCCTCCCGGGAGAGCGGGAGTCCGGGGGCCACCAGGGGCAGCAACCCAGCCCCAGAACGCGGCAGTGCCGCAGGCAGTGGGTCCGTGCCCTGCCTCCCAGTCAGCCCCACACCTCGCCCTTGCCTAACCCAAGGCAGCTGGAGCAGGGTCAAGGGCACAGGGCTGGCCCCAGGCAGACTTGGGTCTGCAGCCCAGCTGTGCCTTAGGCAGGCTGTGTGTGCCCGGGCAAGGTGCTAGCCCTCTCTGAGCCCCAGCTGTGCCCGCTGCAGGGGATCTGGCTGGGCCGAATTGAGCAGATGCACGTTGCCCCTCCCCTCCCCCTGCCCAAGCCTGGACCCCACCCTGCTTCCTCACACTGCTCCCCAGGCCGCAGTCTCTGATTGGTGGGACCGAGTCACGTGACTCAGGGCTGGCTCCTGTCCTGGGGAGGCTGCTCCCAGAAAGGCCAGGAGCGGAGCACCCGGCCAGCTGGCGCGGTGTCCCCTCCCGTCCCCTCCCCAAGTCCAGGCCTTTGCTCTCCGGTCACAGCTGAGCAGACCCGGCCCGGGAGCAGCGGCCTGGAACCGCCCAGAGCCCTGAGCCTGCGGGCTGCTGTCCGCACGCCCTCTGCTGCCCCCTGGCCCGGGCTCCTCCGTGGGACCCGCACCCAGTCCCAGAGCGGCCTCTGCTGCGCCCTCCGCTCCCCCAGCTCGCCGTCGCTGAGGCCCGCGGCTCAGCCTCGGCGTCCTTGTCTGATAGAATGGGTTTCCACCTGCCCCTCGGAGCTGGTGTGCGGATTCCGTGGGGCCCCTCCCCAGGACGAGGCTGAGCCAGCCTTGGGCACAGCGGCCCTGGCTGCCGGTGGGACCCCGGCTGCACCCCTCCAAGAGCACCCCAGACCCCACCTCAGCCATGAGGTCTGCGACAGCAGCTTCTCCGGCTCAGCACCCACGGCACCTGCAGCCCCCGAGCTGGGGGAGCTCCCTGGGGCTGGGGTCCCCCTGGCTAGGAGAACGGCAGTGGGGTGAGTCCTGCCTCCGTCTCCGGCAGGGAGGGCTGGGCAGGGCGGTCCCGGAGCGAAGCGGGACGGGGAGACCTGGCCGAGGCCAGGGTGTGGGGAGGTAGGCGGATCCCAACCCGGGGTGAAGGGGCGGTGGCACCAGGCAGCGTCCCCACCGTCACGGCCACCACTGGGGAGCCGACAGCCTCGGTGACGACACCCGGGCCTGCACGCAGCCCCCCACCCCCACCCGGTTCCCCGACTCCAGGCACCACAGCAATGCCAGCCCGGATGTGGGGCTCGAACTGCCGCCCTGCCGTGCCCTCTGTCCCAGCGTTGGGCTGCAATGCTGCACCTACACCCAGGAAGGCCCTGCGCCCTCCACAGCCAGGTCCCCAGGCGGAGCCCGGCCTGTGCCCCCCCATCTCCACCGCAGTGCCTGGCATCAACTGGTGCCTGGCGTCGTGGGGGGCAGTGGAGTGGGAGGGAGAGAGGGGAGACGTCGCCGCTCCCCCCACCTCCCCAGCCCGATGGTGAGCAGGAGCCGCCCAGCCTGTCTGTGTGTCCGGCTGGCACCTGCTGCCCTGTAGCTTCCAGTCCGCCACATGTGGCCCCAGCCCGGCCTCTCCCGGTCTCTGCCTCGGTGCCGCCCCGCCCTGCGCCACGAGGCCCAGCCCCGTGGTCCCCACGACCCCTCCAGCCTCACCTCGGGCGGAGACTTGACTGAAGCGACAGGTGGACGTCAGGGCACACACCTGGCGTCCAGGGCGGGCGCTTGAGAGGGCGGCCAGGGCAGGGTGGGGTGGGGGAGGCCCGGGATGGAGTCAGGCCTCCTGCAGCCACAGTGAAGCGGGCAGCCCGTGCCGCTTCTCTGGAATGACGGGTGCCCGGGAGACCAGGCTGACGGCAGGGAGGGCACCGTCGGCGAGAGGCGGAAAAGACCCACAGAGGGGGCCACGGGGTGACAGGGCCCACTCGGGAGCGTGCACGGTCAGGCAGGGGCTCCAAGGCCACAGCAGAGACCAGCGGGCTCCAGGCGTGGCTCCCAGGCCACACGGCCCCGCCGGGACCAGCAAATCCATGCAGGGCTGCCTGGGGCTCTGAGCCCTCTCTGGTCTGTCTCCCTGTGAAAGCTGACGCTTTTATTGAGAGAGAGAGAGAGAGAGAGAGAGAGAGAGAGAGAGAGAGAGAGAGGTATTTAGTTATATGAGAGAGAAAGGCTTCTATCTGCTGATGCACACATGGTCCCGACAGCCAGGGCTGGGCCAGGCAAAGCCGGGAGTCGAACTCCATCCACGACTCCCACGTGGACGCAGGGGCCGGGCGCTCGGGCCATCACCCGTTGCTTTCCCGGGCGCGTTAGCAGGGAGGTGGATTGGAAGCAGAGCAGCCGGCACTCGAACCCGGCACTCTGATACGGGATGCGGCTCTCCCACGCGTGGCTTAGCCCGCCGTGCCACGACGCCCACCCCACTCTCTCGCCCAGGGGCTGCCCGCACATGCGCTGTTTCCAGCGGCCCGCGGCCCTTGCTCCCCTCTGCTCACAGCTGTCCTGGGCTCCCAGGCAGGAGCGGAGACTCAGAGAGGGTGTGACGTCTCTTGGGGTCACACAGCCTGCCAGGGAGCACAGGTCCCAGCCTGGGGAGGCCCCCTGGGACCAGGGGTGTCCCCAGGCCCCACGACCCCCAGTGTAGGGGTGCGGGCCAGCAGCAGCTTCAAGGAGGGTTAGCCCAGAGGGGCCTGGCTGCCCTGTGGGGCCTTGGGGTCCCAGGACCTGGCCTCCGGGGGCACTAGGTGGCCAGGCTGACCGCCACGCCTCTGCCTGCCTCCCTGTCAGTGACCTCTGGACCGTGCTCCCCCCAGCAGAGAGCTGAGCCCATGCCAAGTGCAGGGGACTTTGCCTTGCCCCCCCACTGCGCGCAGAGGGGCACAGCGGGGGCAGGGCGGGTTGGAGGGGTTGCCGCCCGCCCCTCGTGCTCTGAGTGCCATTGACCACTCTGTTTCGGCCTCAGTTTCCACATCTGTACAATGGGTCCTGAGAGTCGTTTCTGGAAGTCATGCCAGCGCCTAGAACAAGGAGAACACAGCTGTGGCGGGACTCGTGGCCGTTTCATGGAGCCTCGCGAGCCGCAGAACCGGGGCCCTGGGACAGGCAGGGCCGGGAGGGGCCGGGGTGAGGCTCCTCACCTGGCCTGCCCCGACCGTGACTTCCAGGGCTTGGTCCCTCTGCCCGCAGGGAGCCTCCCCTGGGCCTGGGAGGCAGGGCAGCTGCCTGGACTCAGTGGGCCGTGCAGGACGGGGCGGAGCCGGGGTGCGACCTTTGGCTGTGGACCTCAGCCCCTGGCCTCTGCTGGCTTAGCACAAACACTTCCCGTCCCCAGAGCTCCGGGCCCACACACAGCGCTGACCTGGGTGGCCAGGCCCCGGGGAGCCCAGGCTCTCAGGCAGGGCAGGCAGGGGTGGCCTGGGCCCGGCTCCGGACAGCCACCTCCCGCTCTGATGCTGTCCGGTCCCCGGCTCCGAGACGGAGGCCTAGGGCTCTCCCTGTGAGCCCCTCCCTGGGGTCTCCCTCCCCACCGCGCCCCCACCCCGCTCTTCTCACCCCAGAGGGAGCAGGAAGCCCCCAGAGAAGGGAGAGGTCCCAGGCAGGGGCGCCAGTGACGACCTCCGCGGGGGCCGGGGGCTCTCACGGCTGACGGCCCCTCCAGCTGCACCACCCGGGGAGCTCACCGCCGGGCCCTGCGTGCGCCCACCCGCCAGGCAGCCACCCACGCACAGCATGTGCGCGCTGCCAGTGCCCCGGGAGCCCCTGCGCCGCGTGGCCGTGACCGGGGGCACCCACGGCAACGAGCTGTCCGGCGTCCACCTGGTGCGGCACTGGCTGCGGGCGCCGGGGGAGCTGCGGAGACCCAGCTTCGCCGCCACGCCCGTGCTGGCCAACCCGGCCGCCGCGGCCGCCTGCCGCCGCTACGTCGGCTGTGACCTCAACCGGGCTTTCACCAGCGGCTTCCTCAGGTGCGCGCCCTTGCCCCTGCCTTCGCTCTGGCTCTCCCACTTCCTGGGCCGCTGTTCCTCCCTCCTCCATTCCAGGCAGAAATCCAGACAGAGGCCACCTCCTCCAGGAAGCCCTCCAGACTGCAGGCTGGGCCGGGCTCCCCAGCCCCGGGGGTCCTCTCAGAGCAGGCCCACAGGCTGTGTTTACCTGTCTTGCACCCCCGTCTCCCCTTCCTGCCTTTCTTCAGTGGGCATCCACTGAGGCCAGGCTCCGGCCGGCTCAGGATGGGAATGGGCCTAGGACCGAGGGGTAAGCCTCAGTGTGCTAGGAACACAGAGGCCGATACGGCAGCCACAACCCCGGAGGCTGCATGCAGGGGCGTGGGCCACGGGCAGTCAGGGAAGGCTTCCTGGGGGAGGCAGTGTCTCAGCCAAGCCCCCAAAAGTGAGAAGTTAGCCAGGTGAGGAGAGGAGTGACCAGCGAGGGCCCAGCGGGTGACAAGGCCCTGCAGGTGGATAGGGCGGTGGACAGGACAGGTGGACAGGGCGGTGGACAGGGCCGGGACAAGGGCTGGGGCTTCGTGGGGAAACGCAGGAGGGCGGACCACCGTCGTGAGTGCCCCTGCGGACGGACTGAAGCTCTGGGGGCTGGCGTCCCCCGTCTCTATCCCCGTAGCGCGAAGGCCAGTCCAGACGACCCGTATGAGGTGACAAGGGCCCGGGAGCTGGACCAGCTCCTGGGGCCCAAAGCCTCGGGCGCGGCCTTCGACCTGGTCCTGGACCTGCACAACACCACAGCCAACGTGGGCACCTGCCTCATCGCCGAGACGGCCCACCAAGTCTTCGTCATGCACCTGTGCCGCCACCTGCAGGTGGCCCCGCCCCCGGTGGGGGAGGGGTGGGGGCAGTGGGGACAGAGTGGGGGGCTCTCTCGGGCTTCCTTCCCTGGGGTTAGCTCCAGTCCTGCACCCCAGGACCGAGGGAGACCGGGTGTTGGTGTAGGGTGTCCCGTGCTCCCCCCACCCCCACTGCCTCAGTTTCCCCTCCCTGACCCGCCTCTCCCGGCCGCAGCTGCAGACCCCAGAGCTGCCCTGCCGGGTCCTCCTGTACAAGCAGCCGGGGGAGGAGAGCTACCACGTGGGCTCTGTGGCCAAGAACTCGCTGGGTAGGCCACGCCCCTGGGAGAAGTGGGCGGGGCCTGACCGATTGGATGTGGCCACAAGGGCTGGGCTTCTTTGATAAGTGGGCGGGGCCACGAGGGCAGGGCGGGGCCTGGTCTTGGGGCCGCCCCCCTTGCTGCTCCTACCTCTCTCTGCCCCCGGCCCCCCAGGCCTGGAGCTGGGCCCGCAGCCTCAGGGCGTGCTGCGGGCCGACGTCTTCTCCCGCATGAGGGCCCTGGTGGCCTCCACTCTGGACTTCGTGGAGCTCTTCAACCAGGGTGAGGCCCCTGGGGGGCGTGCGGGAGCCGAGGCCCGCGAGCGCGCGTATCTCACCTCGCCCCACCCCACACAGGGGCCGCCTTCCCAGCCTTCGAGATGGAAGCGTACAGAAACCTGGGCGGCGTGGACTTCCCTCGCACGGCCGACGGGGACCTTGCGGGCACCGTGCACCCCCAGCTGCAGGTGTGTGGGCGGGCCTCTGGGGGGATCCAGGCGCCCACGCCCCGGCCCTGGCGCCCCGTGGTCCTCTCGACTCCAGGGCAGGCGCAGCAGCCTGGACAGCGAGCCCCGGGAGGGCGCCAACGCGGAACCCGCGAGCGCCCCCAACCCCGCGCCCCGGGCCTGCCCTTCCCGGGGTTCCGGGACTCGCCCTGCTGCTCCGGCCGGTGCCGCGCGGGGGCGCTGTGGAACAGGGCTCGGTGCGGTCCTGAGCCCGGCTCTCGGGTTGGGGTGCAGGGAGGGAGCCCCAGCAGTCGGGGCCAGCTGGCCTGGCCCCCTTGCAAGCGGTGAGCATAAGAGTCACTTTGGGTGCCCTACCCTACAACTGAGCGTTCACACAGTCTCCAGCGCTGTTGACCCCCTGACCTTGAGACTCAGAAACGGGGCGGGGGTGAGACGTGGGGACCCCGGTTTTGCAGACCAGGAGGTTGGGGAACAGAGGGGTTAACGTGACTTCCTGAGCGTCACACCCCCACCAAGGATTCGAACCCGTTTCTGAGTCCATAACCTTTAGGCTAGGTTTCCATAGCAACAGGTGTGTTTCCAGGGCGACTGGCAGCAGGGTGGGTCCTCACCAGGTACCCGGTCACAGGGGCGGGAGGGCCAGCCGGAGTGAGGGGTGCCTCTGGGCTGCCGCCAGCTGGGGCCGCTGTCCATTGGGGCGGGGCGGGGGCAGAGGTCAGCCCCCCAACCTTGGCCTCCGGCTCCCCCTCCAGGACCGAGACTTCGAGCCCCTGCAGCCCGGCGCCCCCATCTTCCAGCTGTTCAGCGGCGAGGACGTGTGCTATGAGGGGGAGTCCACTGTGTACCCCATATTCATTAACGAGGCCGCCTACTACGAGAAGGGCGTGGCCTTCATCCGGACGGAGAAGTTCACCTTCTCCGTGCCCGCCCTGCCCGCGCTGGCCCCCACCCCCACCCTGGTGCCCTAACCCATGCTGCTGACCAGGCTCTGCCCCCGGGGCCCCCCTACTCCCCCACCCAGGCCTCAATTTCCCATTCTGTAAAATGGAAGACGGGCCGGCGCCGCGGCTCACTAGGCTAATCCTCCGCCTAGCAGCGCCGGCACACCGGGTTCGAGTCCCAGTCGGGGCGCCGGATTCTTTCCCGGTTGCCCCTCTTCCAGGCCAGCTCTCTGCTGTGGCCTGGGAGTGCAGTGGAGGATGGCCCAGGTGCTTGGGTCCTGCACCCCATGGGAGACCAGGAAAAGCACCTGGCTCCTGGCTCCTGCCATCGGATCAGCGCAGTGCGCCGGCCGCAGCGCGCCGGCCGCGGCGGCCATTGGAGGGTGAACCAACGGCAAAGGAAGACCTTTCTCTCTGTCTCTCTCTCTCACTGTCCACTCTGCCTGTCCAAAAAAAAAAAAAAAAAAAAAAAAAAAAAAGGAAGACGCCCGGGGGACCCATGGTCTGTGTCTTTGGTCTGTTGTGCAGGGGAAGTGGGTGGAGGCGGGGAGGCTTGCCCACGGCATCTGGGGTGGGTCTGGTCAGCGCTGCCCTGGGCACACCCATCTGTGGGGGGGTGGGGGGGCACCCAGAGCTGGGAGAAGCAGCCAGAGAGGGAGAAGACAGAGAGGTCCCAGCCCAGAGGGGAGGTCCAGCCAGCTGCTGGACACAGCATGGCCCGAGGCTTGGTCTGGGGCCAGCAGAGCCCTGGCCACGTACTGGGACGCTTGGCCCTGCACGCACCTGCCCCCTGTGCCCCTCAGAGGGTGGGCGTTCTTCCATGCACACAGTGTCTGAAGCTTAGTTCCCGAGTGTCCTGTGGGCATCTGTATGTGGGTGCAGACACAGCGGGCTGTGGAGTTCTGGGTGTGGAATGAGCCTATGCCCGTGATGGCCCTGGGTGACAGGGCTGCGGGGAGGGATGCCAGCACGGCCTTCCACCTGCCGTGACACAGGGAGGAGGTGCCTCAGGCTGCGGCACAGGGACGCCCTGCCCCCTCCACCGCGTCCACCATCCCCAGAACCCCCGCTGTGGTGCCAGAGGGGGCAGGCAGGGTGCCCTGGATGGGGTCCCCCCACCCCGTCCTGGTGCAGGCACCCTCCAGGGCGGGCCGGCTGCGGCTCACTGCCCGCATCTGCCCGAGCCCGAGGAAGTGGTCTTGGCTGGACGGAGCCCAGGGCTCGGTTCCCTGGAAGCAGCACCGCTGGGCGGGCTCCAGGTGGGCTCCGGCTGTCCGGCCCAGCCCATCCGTCTCCCCGAGGCCACGGCTGCCGCGCGCATCCTGCTATTGAGCAGTGAGATGAGAAGGTGTGAAAGACGCAGGGGCGCCAGGGACCGGCTGACAGCAGGACGGATGAGGGGCAGGGGCCGCCAGGCGCCTCGGGCAGGACGGGCGGGGAGGGGCGTGCAGCGAGATGGGCGTGTGCGTGGCGAGTGTGTGTGCGTGTGTGTTCACTGGAGCTTGCGTGTGTGTGCGTGTGGGTTAGGGAGTCAGTGGACGCATGGGGGGGAGGGCAGTGCCTCCTATTACACTGGTCACACGCACGCACATGCATCAGGAGCCAACAGAACCCTGGGCATCTGGGTTCAGGGGGAGCCACTAAGCCTGGGATGGCCCCCCGCCCTCCCCATCCCCACCCACCCCTGCAGGTGCTGGGACCCTGCTAAGCCTGGGATGGCCCCCTGCCCTCCCCATTTCCCACCCACTCCTGCAGGTGCTGGGGCCCCGCTAAGCCCGGGATGCCCCCCGCCCTCCCCATCCCCCACGCACCCCTGCAGGGGCTGGGACCCCGTGTCTGGCACAGGGCACCCTCCTTGCCTGGCAGTGAACCACAGCTGAGGGCTGCCTCCCTTGACCCCACTGGGCACGGGCCTGCCAGGGGCTGGCCCTCCCCCCCTCCACGGCCCTGGGCCAGCCCACCCTCTCCGTGGGGTCCCACTGCACTGGGCTGTCGGGCGCAGGAACTGGGCCAGCAGGCACCCCTGGCTGCAGGGAGCAGAAGCCTGAACAGAGAGAAGCCCCCCGAGTCCTCCGCCCCCACATCCCCCTCTCAAAGACTGGGGCCTCGGGAGGACATGGCGGGTCCAGCTGACGCTGGGGACATGTGCACCCAGCCCACCCAGGCCTGGAGGCCAGGGTCCAGCCAAACGACCCTCTCCAGGCTACTTGGCAAGGATCCAGCGACCAAAGAGCAGGCTCAGCCAAGGAGCCGGCACAGCCGATGGGTGCTGGCCCCCGCCCCCCACCTTCCTGACCGCCGATGCCAGGACAGGCTGGAGGGCACAGACAGACCTGCGGGCACCGTGCACGCCCACCCCGGGGCTCTGAGCAGCCCAGCTCAGGGTGCCACACACGCCCTGCTGGGGACCATGTGGTCACTGCCCCCGGCTCAAGCGGGGAAGGCTCCCTGCTCCCCACACCGGGCCAGGCCGTCCCAGGCAGCAGAGTTTGTGCACTGGTCATTTAGGGAAACCGAGGCAGAGACCGTCAGGGGCCGGCCGGTGCCACCCAGCTCCGGAGGCTCCACGCCGACCGCGCCTGCTGCTACTGCCCCCTGTGTTCCCCGCCCGGACTTCCCCCGTGAAGCCAGCCCCGGGTCAGGGGTCCGGCCCCCCGGGCAGGGCACCGCCTCTGCCCCTCAGCCCTCCATCTGCTGCTGCTGCCATGTCCCCCGTCTCCCCGAGGCCCGCGGGCTCAGCCCCTCCAGCCAGCTGTGCTGGGCCCCCGTGGACACCCAGCCCATCTCCATGCCATCCCGCCCCGTGCAGGGGGGTGGGCATTGATCTGCAATGGCTGGGGGGCTCCTAACTGGCGGAGGGAGGGAGGGCTGGGAGAGGGAGAGGGAGGGGGAGGGGGGCTGGCCACGTCAGAACCTCCCCGCCCACCCTCACCCGCATAGCGCCGGCCCCTGGGTCTGACAAGCCCAGCCCGTGGCCCAGTCTCGGCTGCTGCTTGGAAAAGCCTGTACCGCCCAGAGCCAGGGCTCACCTTCGGACACCAGGACGGTCCCGCCCGGCGGCTGGGGACACCGTGTGTGCGTGTGTGTGTGCGTGTGTGCGCGTGTGTGTGTCTGATCATCACCAAGCAGCCCAGGACCGGCGCCCACCCTCCTGGCAGGTGGGACCCCCCCGGGACGGCTGAGCCCCCCCAGCTGAGAAGCTTCCTCAGGAACTGGACACCAGTGTGGTCATGGCAGGTACGGGCTCAGGAACTGGACATCAGTGTGGTCATGGCAGGTACGGGCTCAGGAACTGGACATCAGTGTGGTCATGGCAGGTACGGGCTCAGGAACTGGACATCAGTGTAGTCATGGCAGGTACGGGCTCAGGCTCCGGGCGGTGGGCTGGGGGGCAGGCGCCAGGCTGTGGTCTCAGCTCCGGTCAGGACAGGGCGGTCAGACAGGTGCGGACCCAGCTGGTCCTGGGAGCTGGGCCCACGGGACGCCTGTGAGCTGGGGTCTGCCCCCTGGCGTGTGGGGTGGGGGCTGGGCAGGAAGTCTCTGCCTCCCCTTCCAGATCCAACACTCGGGCCGCTGGGGGAGTCCAGGGGTGCTAGCTTCGGGTGAGGCTGGGCAGAGGCCAGGCCTCTGTGCTGAGGGACACCCCTCCTGGTGTGACCAGGACACAAAGGCCCCCGGCCGAGTGCAGCCACAAGCCCTCCCCTGGACACCCATCGCCCCAGAGCTGGGGGCTGGCCTGGGCCACCTGGAGGAGGTACCTGCCCGGCGGGCTGGCCAAGTTCCTGGCCGATGGCATCCTTCTCGCCCCAGGGTCCCCAGACCTGATGCGGCCCATCCCCCTGCGCCAGACCCCACCCCTGGATCCCACACATGGGTGCCCGGTGCCGTGGAGGACATGGGTGCTGGCCCTGGGCCCCACCCTCTCACCAGGCACTCCCTGGGGGCCAGCTCTGGCCGGGCTCCGCCCACCTGCTCCGCCCCGAGCTGCCCGGCTGGGTGCTGCTGGGAACGCGAGCCTTGTGCCCTGAGCGCCGGCCACTGCAGCCCCCGGCGCACGGTCCTCGGCCTCTTCGGGGCTGTGACTCATGAACAGCTCCGGTTTCAGGAATTTTTTTTTTTTTTTTTTTTTTTTGACCATTAGGACATTTTCGTTGGGCTGAGATACATGCACTAAAACTGAGCCCTGAGCTCTCAGGGCTGTGCCGCCGCACCGCGGCCCCCTCCAGTGCTGTCCCCATCGAACACCGCCCTGCACCCCCCACTGCTCGGTTCCCCGACTCTGACGTCTCGGGCAACCGGAGGGAGCCCAGGGCCCTCCCTGTTGGAGTGTGGGTCAGTGTTCCCGATCTTTCCACGGGAGAACGTCCCACGGCGCGAGTGCACCGCGAGGCTCCTCCACACAGCCCCGCCGCGCCCCTGGGTGCTCCACCTTCTGGCCGCTGTGGGCGCCGTGGCCATGAACGTGGGCACCCGCCTGCTTTTCAGATGTGGGGGTGCTGGGTCAGATCAAGACAGGGCCTCCGAGAACTGGGGAAGACGCTAGAAGGGGCTGGCGGCAGGAGCCGGGCAGTTTCTAGGCCGGGGAGGACGGTCTGGGGGAGCAGGGGCGCGGCTTTCCTTGGGCCCACCAGCACAGGGCAGGGGCTGCAGGGAGCTTGGGGAGGCCCCACACACACGCCGCGGCCGCCCCGGGCATCCTCGGTGTCCCCAATAAGGGTCCCACATGTGTTCTTCCTGCTGGGCCTGCGGCAGGCAGGTGCGCTGTGGTGTAGCGGGTGAAGCACTCCATACAAGCACTGGTTCAAGTCCCGGCTGCTCCACTTCCACAGCAGTGGAGGATGGCCCAAGTGCTCGGGCCCTGCACCCGCGTGGGAGACCAGGAGGAAGCCCCTGGCCTTGGCCTTGGCCTGGCCCAGCCCCGGCCACTGTGGCCATTTGGGGAGTGAACCAGCAGATGGAAGACCTCCCTCTCTCTCTGTGACTCTGACTTCCAAATAAATAAATAAGTAAAAAGGACCCCTGTGACAGACGTGGAATTGAGGCTGTAGGAAGTGGAGAGATTTTCCAAGGCCACACAGCCACAGAGCAGCTCAAAAGTCCCCCCGGGGAGCGTCTCCACCATTGAGCTGGCTGACGGGAACACAGGCCTGGTCACACGGAAGGCTTCCTGGAGGAAGAGGCACACAGGGCCCCACTTCTGTCCTCTCTCCCCAGCCTTCCTGCCTGCCGGCCTCAGTGCCCTTGCACCCTCGGAGACCCACGCCCTGCCCATGAGCGGCTGGGAGCCCCAGCTGGGGACGCCATGCCCCCCAGGCCCTTGTAGCAGCTCCCTGGGCACGCAGGCCAGGGCTGAGCCCCCCGGGCAGGGCCCCAAGAACCCGCATGTGTCCGGTGTGACGGTCCAGCTGGAGATGAAGCCGCTGTGGGAAGAGTTCCACCGGCTGGGCACGGAGATGATCGTCACCAAGGCAGGCAGGTGTGAGGCTGGGCCAGGGC